TTTATCTATCTGTCCCGTCTCTGTCTCTCTCTCACCTGGCTGATATCACTGATCCAAGCTTGTTTCTCCTGCATCGTGGGCGCGACCAGGTGGAGTGTAATGGGAGATCCGCTCTTCTGTTCCACGATGATCTTAAAGTCCAGATTGGCTTGCTCCACCGGGAAGTTCTTGCCCGGGCCGGAACCGCTACTTGTAGCAGCTGAACTATCGCTAACTCCGCTACTCTGGGACGAAAGCGAGCACACGGAGGCAGATTCTGGATGGTTCGATGGGAGTTTGTTAGTTTTGTTAGCGCTAGAGGAGTGGGTTAGCTTTTTTTCATCCTTAAGGGCGGGGTATCTGTGCATGTTAATATGGCTACGGCTATTGTGGTTTCTATCTGCTTTTGCTACGGGTACTAATAGGAGAGAATGTACTGCCGCTACGTCTATGGCTAATAGCGTTTTTTGCTAGGAGTCGTGATTTCTAAATCTATCTTCTAGATCTATTATTACTTGATTTCTCCTCTTACTACTTTCTACTATATTTCTACGGTGCAAATATTTAATATCAGAGACACTACGCTTCTAATTGCTAATGCAAAATTAATACAATTTACAAAAAAAGAAAAAAATGATGACAGGGTAATATCACCTTTCAGTCACAGATAGTGCTGGTTCGACGAAACTCATACAATACCTCCTCATTTCTAACCCCTTTCCTCTACATCTCTTCTCTCTTCTTCCTGCTCTTCCTTCCTCTCCTTTCCTATTTTCTTTTATCTCTTCCTTCTTCTCTCGCTCCTTCCTCCTCTATCCTATTCGCCTCCTCCTCTACTTCAAGCCCCTACCCCTTCTTCTCTTCCTTCCTCCAACCCTCACCTCCCCTCTTCCATCCCCTCCACTTCCCATCCTCTCTTCCCCCCACACACCCTTACCCCACCTTCCCTCCCAGACCTTCCTCCTTGCCCCCACCAATTCCCCTCTCCCCTCTTTAAACCTCACCGCCATCCTTCACCCTCCTCTCCCAAACCCGTCCTCCTTGCCCCCCCCCCCACCAGATCCCTCTTACCCTCCCTTTTAAACCTCCGAACTCACTCGCCATCATCGTCCTTAGCAACCCTACCTCCCCTCCCAAACCCGTCCTCCTCGCCCCCCCCCACCAGATCCCTCTCACCCTCCCTCTTAAATCTCCGAACTCACCTGCCATCATCATCCTGAATAACCCCCGCCCTCCCTCCCAAACTCGTCCTCCTTGCCCCCCCCCCCCACACAGATCCCTCTTACCCTCCCTCCCCTCCCTCTTAAACCTCCGAACTCACCTGCCATCGTCGTCCTGAGCAACCCCACCCTCCCCTCCATACCTCGTCCTCCTTGCCCCCCCCATCAGTCCCTTTTACCCTCCCTCCCCTCCCTCTTAAACCTCCGAACTCACCGCCATCGTCGTCCTGAGTAACCTGCTCAGTCGGGTCTTCGATAAGCGTGGCGTCGTTGAGAGGGACTTTTCCCACGTTGGCGACCAGGTGGAGCTTTCCTCCCGACGTCCGTGTGGCCACGATCAGGTGATTGCTGTTGGGGGGCGTGGTGTGAGAATACATTGATACTTTTTTTTTTTTGTGAACTTTTAATATTTGCGAGGAGAAATTGAGGAGGGGATGTTGTGTACAGGTTTTTAATGGTACTGTTGTATTTAGGGGGTAAGGGTGTGAAAGGGTCGTTGATATTTTGGTGTCGACATTTTGTTGTATTTACGGGGGATGGGGTGTGGATAGGTGTCGTTGATGTTGTTATTATTGAGGAAAAGGATATAAATGATTGTATTAACTGCGAATTATTGCTGTCATTTTGTTATATTTCAAAAGGAAAGGGAGGCCTGAACATGTGCTGCTGAACGGGAAAGGGAGAAAACGAATTTGTATAGATGATGTTCAATAATAGTGTTCTTGCTGTTTTTGTTACATTTCAAGGTGGAGGCAAAAGGTACGCTGTAAGGGGGATAAGTTTCAGAGAATTCATCATTTTTATTAAATTTCTTACGAACATTTTTCTTATTTTCCTGTAATTTAGGGGTGGGCTGTTCCCCTAACTGGTGTAGGGGGACAGAGAGAAGGGGTTAAAATGCTGTGAAATAACTGTAATTATTGACACTATTATCGTTATGTTACTACATTTCATAGGGGGCGTTGTAGGGATGTTGTGGGTAATCAAATCGAATCAGTATTACTTCTTAAATTACTTTGTTGCCTTTAAGAGCACTCAGAGGCATCGGAATAGAACACTAATGCTATTATTCCTACAGTTAATAGTTGCATTTCAGGGCGCCAGTATGTTAAAATCGTTAAATCATTATATCCTAGGTGGTTGCCGCGGGGTTGCCAGGTGGGTTGAAGGGATGTGAACTGTGAATAGACAATTTTCCGTTAATACTATCATCGATGTTAACAAAAGGCCATATTTCATTTGCTGGGTATCAACATCGTCCTGTTAACATTATTTGTTTGTCTTAGGACCGACTGGCTGATGGTTAGGGCTTGTTAGACATGCTGCGGAAAAGATGAAGGAAGAACGATTATTAAGAGAAGGGTTAATAGTTCTGGAAAACACGAACAAACAAAAGTGATATGAAAACACATACACAATACATATTTGAAACAGATAAACAGATGTTATATATGTATGTTATGTACAAATGATTGTAGAAAAATGATAATAAAACACACAAACACACACACACACACGCACGCACACACACACACACACACACACACACACACACATATATATATATATATATTATATATATATATATATATATATATGTGTGTGTGTGTGTGTGTGTGTGTGTGTGTGTGTGTGTGTGTGTGTGTGTGTGTGTGTGTGTGTGTGTGTGTGTGTGTGTGTGTGTGTGTGTGTGTGTGTGTGTGTGTGTGTGTTGTGTCATATATATGTGTGTGTGTGTATATGTATATGTATGTAATCACACACATACATATATGTGTGTGTGTGATGCAGATATACATAACTCCTAAGACACTTAGAGTGGAGGAAAACAAATCACATATTCTAATATGCTTGTAATCCTGATTGGTCTTATCATTTTTTTTTTTAAGTTAAAGTCATTATTAGCAAAACCATTACTACTATCATTAATATCGTTGCTGCCATGACTATTACCATTTTATTCATTGTGAGTCATTATTTCAATAACGATAATAGTGATGATAATCATTTTCATACTCTAAATACTGATATTTCTTGAAATTCCTTTCTAATATATTTGCTAATTCTATCATAATCATTACTGCTCATTTACAATCACGATCTTACAACACAAATGCAACCAATTATTGATTTGTTATTCCTTATCATCATTATCATCCTCATCTCCCACACCCGTTAAAGATCTACTTAGCTCCGTATCCTTTATCCAACATATCCTTTAGACTCTCTACATACATTATCAAATCGTGGTCATCTCAAGGGCATACCTGAAGAGGAAGCACTGCCGCACTGCCTCCTTCTCGCTCTTGAACTGACCGAGGCGGGTCTTCACAGGGCGCGGTCGGTCTCCCAGAACTTGGATCAGCGAACCTGCAGGGCCAGTCACAGCATGAGAGAAGGTCACTGCTTAGAGGTCAAGAAAGAAAGGTAGAGAAAGAGGGAAGAGTAATGGCTCGGGGAAAGGGGTCTTCTTTGAACTCGTGTAAGAAAGAAAATCGGATTAAGTGTGGTTTATCTGGTTTGTTTGCGTGCATATAATGACATCAATATGAGACGTAATCAAGGGTCGGATTAGTGTGAGAAGAAGTAAAGCACCAAAGAGTGTGTTTGATTTCTGGTTAATTCGTGATCTTAGTTCTATAAGAAATCCTCTTTGTAGCGTTACGAATAATTGAGTTGTTCTATGGGGACCGAATGGCTTTTCTGTGAGCCTAAGTATGGGTAGTAATAGAGATTATTTCATAGTGTCATGTTCCATTGTCTTAGACGCCAATTTTGTTTGAGAGTAACATAGCATAAAAACGCAATGTCTCTCGGTGTTTCTAGTCATAGATAGCAAGCATTAGCTGCTATTTCATGTGTCGACAAGGTCAGATTATATATATGATCTAAATAAATTTTGTTAGGAAAACCTTCTCTACTTTCTATTTTGTTTCAGATATAAAATGGAAATTATACTATATCTTATCATCATGACTGAAAACTACTGATTACTTAGTTCAAGAATATTCAGAGAATCTAGTTGCATGCTAGTTAAATGTGGGTTTTCCGTCCGTAGATTAAATGGTCAACCATGAAAGCATTTTGTTCCTATACCATGAAATTTTTAAAATAGGCTATGAAGTTTGAAAAAAAAAATACTATAAAAAACTACTAAAACAGACGAAGCAGCACATAATTAAGCGTATATATGACATTTTGTACAGGAGGTCGATGTACCCAGGACAGTAGTTTCAAAGACTCACGTATCGGCTGGAGATAAAAATATCGTGTCATTTGTTTAAAAGAAATCCAACATAGCGGTTGTTTTAGGTGTCGTGTGCAAATCCCTATGACTGTGTGCCTACTTTCGTTCTATCTAAAATAGACAATTGAATTCTGAAATGACGAATAAAAAATATTTACACATTTACACAGACATACACACACAAACACACACACACGCACACACATACACAAACAGACATACACACGCACACAGGCACACATACACGCGCACATATATATGTATATGTATATATATATATATATATATATATATATATATATATATATATATATATATATATATATATGAATAAACACGCACACACACACACACACAACACACACACACACACACACACACACACACACACACACACACACATATATATATTTATATATATATATACATATATACATATATATATATATATATATTACATATATATATATATATATATATATATATATATATATATATAATATATATATATATATAGGTTGACAGATAGATAGACAGATAGATAGACATAGATA